TTCTCGATTTAACTCTGATTTTTAGCTTAATAGCGATTTAACTCCTATTCAATTTGACTTAATTATGAAAATAGTTTTTAGTCTAAACTAAGCCATTAATAGCTTCGGTCGACGGTTTAACTATTTAGTTTTTAAATCATTGCTAGAGAGAGACAATAAAAAGTGAGTCTCACTAGTTATAGTTAATGAACATTTATAATTTTTAAACGGCGGGTGTATTATTGCTCTTTTAAGATTAGTTTAGAGGTAAAATTACATCTAAACTTATGAAAAGTTGGTCTCACAAGCTACAATACTGACGTTTAAACAGTAGAGGCAATATTACTTTGACTTAATTAGTTTATGGATAATATTGTTATGATGAGTAATTTAGGAGTAATATTACTCCTTCAAGAATAGTTTAAAGGTAAAACTACATCTTAATCTTCATTTATTATGATGCATTTATATTCTAAGTCCTTGTAGATTAAATAAGCTAGAGGAGATGATGGCACTAAAACCCTTGAAGCAGAGGCAGCCTTCCAAACAGTAGTAACATTTCCCTATCTACAGAGAAGAAAAATAAGGAACAAGAAAAATTAGAGGGAAAAAGACATTTTTTCCTTTGTTTTCTCCTAATTTCTCCTACCAAGGAGGAAAACTAAGTGCATGTTTGGTACAAAAAAATATTTTTAAGAAAAAAAATGAAACTCGTATCTATAAAGGAAATAGGATATGTGCATATATCATTTTCTTTTTTAAAAAATATTTTTTTATATTCCAAACACTGCATAAAGGAAAAACTTATGCTATGCGATGAAAATGTCTTTTTCTTTCATCCCAAAGTAAGGAGAGTAAGACTCAATACTTGAGATATTTTGAATAAAATTTAATAAATTATAATTTTTTATTTAATTCTTGTAATTCTTTGAATAAAATTTATTATTTTTTAAATAAAAATTATTATTAAGGTTTTTTTTTATTGAGAACTTGTTTTGTAATAATAAAAATTACAGTTAAAAGTTATGATTTCTTATTTATTATGATTTATAAAATAAAAATTATTATTGTAAAAGTTGTAGTCAGGGCTTTTTTAACAATAAAAATTACACTTTAGAAGTTGTAATTTATTATTTAATTTTTACAATTTATAATTTAAAAATTATGATTGAAATTTGTTATTTTTAATAAGAGTAATATAGTCTTTTGACTTTCAAAATTTTTAAAAACTTTAATAAATTTATAATATTTTAGGAGATCAGATGTTGTTTATAGAATTCAAGAGTATTTTATTATCATTTTTCTTTCTTAAAAACTTAAGAATAATTATCTCATTTTTTAATATTTTTTTGTGATTTGCATAGATTTATTTGTTATTTTCCTTTGAAATTACTACTTTTCCCAAATTTAAAATTTGACAAGGAATTTCTTAAACATCCCCATAAACAGTTCAAGAATCAAAGGCACGAGAAAATCCCCAATTTAAAAGCTGAACTGAGAGCATTGCAAGTCCACGGGGCCTTCTCACTGCATCTGCAGTACGAGCTAGCATCTTGTTGCCACGGAAGCTTCAACTAAAATTTCTCCGACGTATGCCCAATGCTTGAATTAGAATAGAGTAGATATGCTCTCTTTCTTTCCACCATTTACTCCTGCTTCATGCTCAAGAAGTAGCCGACAAGGTGAACTTAGTTAGGGTTTTTTGAGATTGAGTTGCCGTGGCTGTTGAGCGATGCATTTTCTCAAATTAAACCCCACTATTGTGTACTCTATGAGTAATTTGTCCAGATCCTTTCTTTCTCTGGTCTCTACTGTTGTTTCTTCCCCAACTCAAGCCTCGGCCGATTCCATCATTGATTACCTCAACACCAACGTCAAACTCTCCAAAGCTCAATCCGTCTACATATCGAAACGACTTTCTCAGGCTAGGCCCCCTCAGAATTCATGGACTGTGCTTAATTATTTTAAACAGATTGGACTTTCTGAATCGCAGATTCTATCTATGATTGGGGTTCAACCCCAGATTTTGTTTTCAGGTGTCGGTAAAACTCTGAAGCCGAAAATTGAGTACCTTCAGTTTCTAGGGTTTCGGGGTTCTGAGTTGGGTGAGCTTCTCTCCAAGAATCCATATCTTTTGATGTGCAGTTTGAATAAAACGTTGGTGCCTTCTGTAGAGGCTATTAGGAAAATTGTTAATGAAGAGGAAGATTTGATGAAGTTGCTACGCAGAGATGGGAATTGGATAATCCAAGACCACCGAAAGATTTTGCGCAATGCTGCTTTCTTCCAGAGTTGTGGGATCGTTGGGTCTCAGCTTTCATATTTATGCATGCAACAAGCTCGCCTTTTTGTCATGCGAGAGTCCGTGCTTCGAAACTATGTTTCACGGGCTGTAAACATGGGTTTCTGCATAAACTCAAGAATGTTGGTACATGCGGTCATGGTAATTAGTAGCTTAAGCTTTGATACGTTTAACAGGAAGTTGGAGTCAATTCAGAGTTGTGGGTTTTCTAAACAAGAGACCGTGCAAATGTTTAGAAGAGCTCCCACTTTGCTTCAGCGATCTGAGAAGAATCTAAAAGTTAAAATTCAAGTGTGCTTGGATAAAATTATGCTTCCTAAGTCAGTGCTTGTTAAGAACCCTGTGATTTTGACGTTAAGCATGGAGAAACGGGTGATTCCTCGATGGAGGGTTTTGCAACTCCTAATCTCAGAAGAGTTACTTAAGAAGAATCCAAGTTTTCCTCAAGTGCTACTATTGCCGGAGGGGAAATTCTTGCAGAAGTATATTTTCGAGTTTAGAGATAATGAAGAGGCTTTATTGGCGGCTTACAAGAGTTAGCATCTAAAAGATGCTTCTGCTTAATAATGATCATCAAGTTCTGTTTAGTAGGCTTCTCTTCGCAGCTTTAGGGTTCCTTAGAATATGTATGGTTTGTTGAGGGAGTTGAAATTTCAATTGCGTAGATATTAAAGTTTGGAAAGCGAAGAAGTTGGATGAGAAGCTTGAGATTAGAAGAGATGAAAGAAGAGACTGAGAAATTAGATCTGAAAAATGGTTTCTGACTACGGAGACAATACATATTTACATCATGATGAGCCAACAACAGTTGCTACAACAACTTATTTGTTTGCTACCCGGGTTGATAATGAAACAATTCTCTACTTTTTGCTTCTTCCCATGACTGCACAGCTAGTGACAAGATAGAAAACCCTATTTTACATGAAGCAAAATTCTCTTGGTGACTTTGAAAAGCAATCATGTTATAAGCACTGAGCTGATATTGGGCTGTGAATGTTATGTATTATTGCAGTGCAGCAGCTAGACTTCTTTAGTATTCTGAATTAACTTAAGAATTGTTACCATCTACAATTTTTATATGGATTTTTGATTAGGTCAAATTTGAGTATTGTCAAGTACAATTTTGGACGGCTCTCTTGAAGACCTTGTGTTTTTTCTGGCGTTCACAGGGGCTTGAACTCGAGACCTGATGCTTAAGAAGGCATAACTCCTACCAGGATTAACACTTATTAGTACCATCTGACAATTCTTTTGTGGCTATCTTGATGTCCTGGCCAGATCAAGGAACTATATAATACACGAGGCAAAACTTTGAACGCCCCTAACCCCCCCTCCAAAAAAAAAGAACTCACAAACATACAAGTCAGGTATGGATTAGCGAGCTATCTTGTGAGGGAGAAAGGCAGGCTTCATCTGATATTGGAGGCTATTCTCAATGCTCTTTCGTTCATTAAGCACTAATGGATGGCAGACTTTCTTTTTGGTCTGCAACAACGGTATTACATGTTAAAGTTATTGCAGACTGATGTCCTTTTCTTACTTGCTGGTTTTCTAGTGGTCTCTGTAGTTGACTATTAGTTGATATTATGAAATTGCTTTTTGCCGAAAAAGAAAAGAAGGTTTTTGCTCTGGTTATGACTTTGACTTGGGACCATAAAATGAAGTTAAGCTCGAGACTCATTATGTCGTTTCAGGGTGAAAATCATTTTTTTCCTCTTAGGGAAAAAAGATGATGCTAGAAATTAATGAATTTAATTAAAAGCAATTTTAAAAAGTAGTTATACTTTTTTAAAATTTAAATGTATAAGTTACTTTCAACTACTTTCATTGATCTGTGGTCGTTAAAAGTGATTTATAATAAAAACTAAGAGTACTAGATAACATTTTATTTTCAAAGCAAAACAAAAATGCTCAAATGCTTTTTGGCCTCAATTTTATGTTTCAGACTTTTAGTTTCTCTTAAATTGTTTTACGTAGTTTCGGTTTACTTCGGGCTCTTCATATTTTCTTAAGTTTTATGTTCATAATTTAATTTTGGAAAAATTAATTATTTTGTTTTTGAAATTTTAATTCAATTATAATTTAATCATTGAACTTTAAATTGTTATAACTCAGTCTTTAAAGTTTTGATTTAATTGTAACTCAGTCTTTATAATTTTAATTTAGTTGTAATTTAATTTATGAACTTTGACTTTTCTAATTCAGTCTTTATAGTTTTAATCAATTAAAGTATTGCTCTTTATATTTTAAAACTAAAATTATAAAGATTAAAATTTTTAGGATTAATATTTTGAATTACTAAATTCTTTTAATCTTGATAAAAAGTATCAAGATTAAATTTTTAAAATAATTTTAATATTTATCATTTTATTTTTTAAAATATAAAAAATAATATTTAAGTGGCTAAAAATTATACCTAGTTACAAGAGTTAAAGTTTAAAGATTGAGTTATAATTGAATTAAAACTATAAGGATTGAGTTACGAGTGAAAGTTCAAGGATTGAGTTACAATTATATTAAAATTGTAGGAACTAAATGATTAATTTTTTATTTTTTTTAAATTTTCTCTAATGCAACAAACGGTTTCATTTTAATTTAACAATGAATCCTATTATAAAATAAGTGAATAACATTTACTTTTACTTAATATTTTAATTCATGGTGTTACTAGAATGTTAATGAAAAATAAAATGGTAGGTCTTTATAGTCTATCATATTTTATTATTAATTGACAAATCACATTAAAAGACCTGCTAAGAATATTATCTATGAACAAAGATCAAATGATTTTAAAATTATGTTGCAGGATCACGAGGCCTAAATGAAGATATATTACATTGCAAAAAGACTAAACAACCCCTAACACACACATTAAAAAAGAGAGAGAAAGTGACAATAAAAGTCCTTTATGCTATGCTTGGATACACATGGATTTGGATTTGAACTAAATTCATTATTTGAATAATTAAAAATGTATGGATTTGAATTTGACCTAAATCTAAATCTAAATTCTCCCTTAATCTTTTTATAATTTAAAATCCTTTTTAAACCCCTATTATTTCAAATCCTAACTCAAACTCTTTTATAATTTGACCCAAATGTATAAGGGCTTGATTGACCTATCAACGGTAATTGCACTGAACCATCAAAGTTAACAAAAACAAGTTGCCATTGTTGATCAGGATAGGATGGCCGATTTCTATCGAAATTGGACTAACGGTGATAACGGGGATCGGACGACTGACTTCCACCAGGACTAGACTGACGGCAATGATGGGGACCAGATGACTGACTTCCACCAGGACCGGACCGATGATGAAGACTGGGACTGCATGGCTGACTTTCACTGACACTAGACCGATTGCGATGACAGGGACCGAATGGCCCACTTCCACCGAGATCGGACTGATGATGATTGAGATGGCATGGTCGACTTCCACCAAAACTGAAGCGATTGTGACGACGGGGATCGAACGGCCAACTTTCATGGGGACTAGATTAATGGTGACTACGGGGACTGAATGGCTGACTTCTATGGGATTGGACCGATGATGACTAGGACCGGACAGCAGACTTCCACACAGTATTAGACTAATAGTGATAAAGGGCATCGGATGGCTGACTTCTACTAGGATCGAACCGATGGCTACTACTGGCACCGGGCAACCTTTTTCCACTTGGATTGAACTGACGACTACCACGAGCACTAGACAACCTTCTTCCATCGGGACCTGATTGACGGCTACAACGAGGACTAGATCGACGGTAATGATGGGGATTGGACGATGAATTTTCACAGAGATCAGATCGAAGGCAATGACGTCTACCGGATGATCGACTTTCGTTGTCTATTGTCACTGTCAATCCAACCCCGATGGAAGTTGACCGTTTAGTGCCCGCTGTCACTGTTAGTCCAGTCTCAGTAGAAATTGGCTATTCGGTGTCTGTTGGTTTGGTCTTGGTGGAAATTGGCTGTCCGCTGCCTGTCGGTTCATCCCTGGTGAAAGTTTGCTGTTTGGTGCCATTCATCACCGTCAATCTAGTCTCGTGGAAGTCAGCCGTCTGGTCCCTATCATTGCTGTCAATTTGATCTCGATATAAGTCAGTCGTCCAGTGCCTGGGGTCATTGTCGGTCCAGTCCCAGTGGAAGTTGGCCATCTGGTCTCCGTCATCACCATCAGTCCAATCTTGGTGGAAGTTAGAGGTCCCATCCTGATTGTCACTAGTGCCACAGTCCCAGTTGGTTTTGTTTGTTTGATGCTTTAGAAATTGGCCATTCAAATCATCAAGTTTGACAAATCTTTCAAGTTTCTTTTGCATTCAAATATATAATTTAAAATTTGAAATTTTACTTTAGATTCAAACAAAGAATTTTAAGATTGTAATTTAAAATTTTTTTTATTATCCAAACAAAAAATTTAGAATTTATGAATTTTAAATATGAGATTTCAAATATAAGATTTTAAATTCAAATTCCCAACTTAAATTCATCCATCCAAACATAACCTTAAAATATATAAACGATAAGTTAGTCCCTTAAAATGACATAACGTCACTGAAGTCCTTAGGGACTTTTCTATCATTAATGAATTTATAAAAATAACTAAATTGCCCTTGTTAAAAATAAAATAATCACAAGTTTTGTTTAAATAATCATAAGTTTCCTTCTTATATTCGTAACAATGCAATTGCAAATCACAATTCACTTGTCAAATTCCTGATTTGTCATTGTATTATTGTGAATATAAGAAAAAAAGTTATAATTATTTAAATAAAACTTGTGATCATTTTATTTTCAATATGAGTAATTTGGTCATTTATATAAATTTATTAATAATAGAAAAGTCTCTAGAGACTTAAAAAAAAGGCATTTCAAAGGATTATATTATCATTTATATAATTCAAAGAAATTTTATTATTATTTTCTCTTAAAAAAAAGGTCCACCCCAACAATTGTTGGCACTAGCTATCAAATTGTTAGAGAACCCCTACCACTAGTGAGGTCACTGGCCATTGGACCTCCATTAAATCATCATAGGTGGTCAAGGGGTTTGAACTTTAAACTGTTTGGCAACCTCAAAAATAATGACTACCAAGTCGCCAATATTATTTAATTATAATATGAAAGACAATAATATATTAACAATAAGTGAGATGTTCATTGAACAATTCATCGTTCCAAAAAAAAAGTTCCATTCCATTTGAATAAGCAACAATTTTGTAATTAACAAGTTGGAAAAATCATCATTTTGCTTGAAAGAAACAAGTATTGTGATTTGGTGAACAAATAGTCATTTGTAAAAAGAATATGTCCCTAATTCATTTTAATAAGCAACAATACTATAATTAACAAACCTAGAAAATAGCTATTTTATTTGAGAGAAAGAAATCTTGTGATCGGGTGAATAACTCATCACTCAGAAGAAAAAACTTTATCATCATTTCAGATAAAAGAAATCCCCGTTCCATTTCAAGAAGCAACAATTTCTTAATTAACAAGTCCAAAAAAATGGCCATTAAATATTTTTTTATTAGATGGC